ATCATTTTAAGTCTGGCACTTCCTCCAGTATGAGTATATTCCTTGCTCCATGGTCAAAATTAAACTTTTTACATCTTGTTTACACAAATGACGTAAAAGTGGAGATTGGTATGTAGGATTGTAGGTACTCAGCAAAGGGAATGAGATAAATTACTCATTCTTTCGTATCTACAAGCGCCTCATTAACAGTGTGAGCGTTCAAAAAAGTTCTGAATGAAGACACATCTTTGGTTTTATCATGGATTAAAGATAATCCAGAACTAATTTGTAGTTACCAAAAAATTGTCTGCAAAGAATGCAGTAAACTCCAAGATTAATTGTTAATATATAAATTCAAATTTCTTTGCACCAAATTTATTAAAAAAAATATACCTATATTTAATTTTTTAAACTATCAAACGTAATGAAAATAATACTTTTTCACTTAAAATTGTAGCAGAGTTTTTCAAGATTTCATTGATTATGATAAATCTATAAATTTTTAATTTTACAGTTGTAATAATTTTAAAGCCATTTTTATAAAAAAAAATGACGTGTAACACGTTTTGAAAGCATTTTTTTCACTCGTTTAATTGACAAACTTTAAACTTGTGAGAAAAAAAGCATGAATCACTTATTTGAGTGTCTAATTAATAAGACGAATAATCCAAATGAACATTACAGTAGCATACCGACGAAATATGTGTCAGCATTAAAAAAATTATTTTACAATATTTTCACTTTTTTGCACTTTGGTTTAGTCGGAAATGAGCCTAATAGTTACTGTTTTTATGGAACTCGTATGTATTTATTTTGACACTTTTTTAGAAATAATGAAATTTTTGAGTTGGACTTGCGACGAATTGTGTTGCGATGAGTTGTGACCAGTTGTCGCTACGACCAATTGACGCTGCGATCAGTTGTTTGCGATCAACGCGGTTACCATAACTTTTAGATGCGTCTCCATTCCCTTCGGTTTTTTTGCGTTCTTCCTCCAGTCCTGAATTTGTTTTTCTGCTAAGTCTTCCTCTATCGCTTCTTTCCATTTCTTCTTCAGTCTGCCTCTTTTCCTTTTGCCCTCCGGAATTTTCCACGCCACCATCTTAACTTCTCTTTCTTGTGTCATTCTTTCTAGGTGCCCTAACAATTGCAATCTTATTATTTTTATGAAATTGCTTACAACTGTGTCTTCATATAAATCATATATTTCTTCATTAGTTCTTATTTCCCATCCTCGTTCTGTTCGTTTGCCTCCAAAGATTCTTGCATCTTCCTTTCCCAAATTTCCAGTCTTTTTATTTGTCATAATCTGTGTCTCGCACGCGTATGTGAGAGTTGGTCTTACTATGGTTTTATATATTCTTAGTTTCGTTTGCCTTGATATTTCTTCACTTTTCATAATTTTTCTTAATCCTCTTGGACACCTTTAGCAATTCTCAGTTCTATTTCTTTGTCTTCTTGGTATTTGTTGGTTATCAACACCCCAAAGTACATAAACATTCCTATTCCTTCAAATTTTACTTTTATTCCTTCTTGTCTGCCTATTTGCAGGTTGTTTTTGTTTCTACTCCCACAGATATTCTTTAGTTCCATATATTTGTTTTTTTATATATTAAATTCTAAACCTACATCTTCTGCTTGTCTCATTAGCTTTGTTGTTATCCTTTCTAATTCCTTTCTGTTCCTAGCTAGTAGGACTAAATCGTCTGCGTAGGATAGACAGTGATGGCTTCTATTGAATAGTAGCCCCTTCCTATTTATATCACTTTTTCTTGTATTATTCTCTAGAACCAGATTGAATAGAGTTGTTGACAACGGTTCACCTTGTCTGAGTCCTTGTTTAACATTCAAACTGTCACTAATTTTTCCTTTTACTTTTACTCCACTTATTGTGTTTTTCAATGACATTTTTATTAGATTTATTAGTTTTTCGGGAATATCTAGTTCTCTCAATATGTTTATTAACTTCGTCCTGTTCAGCGTATCGTAAGCTCTTTTGAAGTCCACGAAGAAAAGAGTAGGAAGTTCATATTCGTAGTCTCCTACCATGATTTGTTTCAACAAAAATATTTGATCGATTGTCCCTCTTTCTTTTCTAAAGCCCCCTTGATATTCTCCTAGAGCTTCTTCAATATATGCTTCAAGTCTTCTTTTTATTATCGATGCCAGTAGTTTGTACGTAACGTCTAATAACGAAATCCCACGGTAATTTTCGCAGCTTCTTCTGCCATCTCTTTTTATCCGGCATTTCTTCCGTTTCCCAAATTTGCTTTATTACCAGCTGGATATGGTCTTTCAGTTTGTCACCTCCATATTTTATGTTTTCTTTTGTAATTCCATTTTTCCCTGGATTTTTGTTATTCCTCATCTGATTTATGATCTCCTCTATCCCTTCTCTTGTTGGTATTGCTATACTTTCATTATTTAAACTTCTTTTTTTAGCACTTGTTTTTGCTCTTCTCTCTGATCTCCGATTTCGCTATTTATTATTTGTTCAAAGTACTATTTCTATCTTCTTAATTTTCCTTCATCGTCGCCTATTAAGTTGCCTTCTGTATTTTTTATATACTGCGTAGATTCGTGTTTTGTTGACTTTACGTTTTGTATGTCTTTTTAAAAGTTCCTTATCTCTTTCTTCTGGTATACTTCCTCTGCAGTTTTTATTTGTCTTTCTAAAAAATATATTTTTTTTCCTGCGACATATTTGCTTAACTATCTTTCTTTGACTGTTATAATTCCTTCTATTTTCTTCGTTTCTTATCTGCAGCATTTTCATTCTGAGTAACTTTTTATGTTTTATTTCTGCTTCGCATTCTTCATCTAACCATTCTTTTTTTTCTCCTGCTTTTGTTTTACTCACATGTCTTTTTGTCGCTTCTGTTACTATTCGTTCTATATTGTTCCATTTGGTATTTGTATTTTTTCTTTTGAAAGATCTTCCTTTTCGAGGTTTCTTTCTATGTATGCTTCATATTTTGTTTTGATTTCCTCTGCTTGCAATTCTTCTGTATTATACCTTACTTCGTGATTCCTCCTGTGCTCTTTGTCTTCCCCTTTCCATTGCCTTAGCTTTGCCATTACCAAAAAGTGGTCTAAATCTGTGTCGACACGATTTCACTGATGGTATTAATCTAGAATGATTTTCTTGGATCAGTACGTGATTAATCTTCTTCATATTTCTTTCTATAGCCAATTCGATTAATCTTAGACCATTGTTGTTCGATTCTTATGCTTACTGTGTTTTCCTTCTATTTCTTCTCTCCCTACTTTTGCATTTGCGTCTCCCATTACAATTCTGATATCTCTTTTTGGTATTTTGTCCATAACTCTGTCAACTTCTTCATAGAATGCATCCTTTACATCATCTTCTTTTTCTTCTGTCGGTGCATGTATATTTAGAATGTATAGATTTTGGTTTTGCCCTTTTACCCTTATTATTAAACAAACGATCTATAGTTACGTAAACCAATTCTAAGTTATCGCAAAAAAATTGCGATCAAAAGCAAGTCGCATTTAACAAAAAGTAAAATATTAATTCAGGTATTTAAAATGAGTTATAAAAGCAAACTATATATTTCCCGAAATTTTCGGTTGTAAATTTACACCTTTGATCGCTTAAAACACTTTTAAGTTTTGAAAACGTGCGTTCCACATCACAAGAAGTGATGGGTGCAAAATTAAATATTGAACAATCTACGTTTTCATTTATGTATGTATTGTTGGTAGCATTTCCATTACCGCAAATTACGTTATTTACTGAACATATAAAATCGTATCCTGTATCCTTTTTTAATAGAGAACATAATTTTTGGAACGCCATTTCCCCCAACCTTTCCTGGTGTGTTTTTTAAAGATGCATACACTTTTTCCACAATTTCCATACTTTGGTTTAATTTTAAACCTATAATTTCTAATCATCAGCAATAATTTTAAGGTGAGTTTTAATGTACAAGAGTTCATTTTTAACGTTTGCTTTATTCAGGAATTCTTGACCTTTTTTAATGCTTTGTGCATCTGTGGCTTCAAATGACATTACAACGTAAAAATATTCAATATAAGAATGATGGTAAAAAACCATTATATATTTACTGACTTGTTTTAAAACATCAAAGTGTTCTGCATAAAACAATGCTGCTTGAATCCAAGTGCCCCACCTGGTTAATACAGGTTCAGGTGGGAGAGGTGTATTTGGTAAACTGTTTTTATAAAACTCTACTCTTATTGGTGCTTTTAAAAAGATTTTCTTAACATTGCTAATTATCCCATTGACATCTGGATAATTCAGTCTAATTGTTTCAGACACTAAATGTAACCCATGTGCCATACATGTTAAGTGTGTTATATTTTCATAAAACACCTTCAAATTAGTACCAGTTTTGATCATGTATGAAGCACCATCTGATACAAACCATTTAACTTATTGTATTCAGTTCCTTTTGGCCACAATAAAGCTGCAAATTAACAATTAAATAAATTACTCGTATAATAATTTCAATGCTTAAAATTATCAATACCACTCCCAGTGATTCGTTTATAAATCTCGAGATTGTGTTGCTATTAGGTTTATCAAGCTGCTTCAAAGCTAGTAGAAATGGACGGCCAGCTTCTTCAGAAGATAACTTTCCAATTACTAAATGGGCTATGTATTTTCCTAATCTGTCCGTCGTCTCATCGACGCTAATCCATATATTATTATTGCCAATAGAATTTCTAATTTGTTTAATTACCTGTAAATTATAAAATTTATGTTAAAAAGTTTTTAAATAAAAATTCTGGTGCTCACCAAAGCGTAATCTTTTGGTAAATGATTTTTTCTCAGAGTGGTTTCTGAGGGTAAATGCCTTCCTGTATATTTATGCATAAAATTTTTAAACTCAGGAGAACTAACTTTATTCCATGGAATATTTGCTGCGGTAAACGCCCTACATAAATCGGTGCAAAATTGCCTAAAATCAATGTCGGAACTAATGATTAATAAAGTCTATTTACTGGATTTATTCTCGTTATTTTTATGTGCATCACCACTGCAGTGTTGTTCAAAGTGTGATTTTTTTTCGCACTTAAACTAGGAAACAAAAATCTGGACATAATTCAAGCTTCAGTATTTTAAATGTTTACTTACAACTTTTCCACACACTTTGCAGAATAACTCATTGTCTTTGGATGAAGAAGGAAATTGAAAATTTTAGGTAGTAATAAATGGGCGTTAAATAAACAGAATTTTTTAAATTCGGTTAAATATATAAATTTCGCTGCGATGCCTGAAGTAAATATAAAAAGGAGAAAAGCCTATATTATATGTTTTAATTTCCTTAATAAGGTTTTTAATAGCTCCTTCTTCATAAATACCCCTTACGTTACATGTTTCATGAGTATAAGATTTTGTTTTTGTTTCCTTCTCCTATTCTTTATTTCTTCTCTTTTCTTTGTTTGTTTGTTACCAGAGTCATTGCCGTATTTATTGTCTGGTCCATTTCCTTTGTTGCTGACTTGAGTGTTTTCATTGTTTAGTTTTTTTAAATATTAAGCTGCTTCGTTTTTATCATAGACGCCAAGACACCAAAAAACGAAACAATAAAAGATAATAAAAATACATTTATAGACACACTGTATATTTCAGTATCATACTTACTTATGATTTTACACAAAATAACGACGATAGGAGAATTCTAGACCTAAAAAATACACTCTAGTCATAAATAACCATCAAACATCTATATAGTAAACCCATTTTCTCCTAATCGTAGATTACGAACAAACCGTATTTAACATACCCTTATTTTAAACAATTTTTATTAATGCTCGCTTCAGTCTTAAACCCCCAGATGTATCATATCCTCTCCTCTCCACTCCCACTTAAACTACCACCCAAACCCCCATAAAAATCAAACCTCGCCACAGTCGTCTCACCAAACCTCAGCCACACTGACGCCTCCTCTCCTTTAATTAATTATTATTATGGAAAACCCGTCACGGGGTCATTTTATTTAACCTCAAAGATAACCCCCAAGTATTTATTAATAGATGCAAATTTTCAGGATTGGTACAATAAATTAACTATGTAAACATCGAACCATTCATTAATTAAAATGGCAGCTGGAGCACTCGTCTTCCTTTCACTCCTACCCTGCGTGTTTATGGACACGAAATTCACCAGTGGCAACTGCAGTAAGTTCGACCATTAATCTTTCCATTAGTGGCAGTCGTCGCAATTCCAGGTTATCACTGGACTTTGTACAACGGAACGATCCCTGAAGATGCAATCCCCGGCGGCCGAGACGTCTCCGGCGAAATTTTTTACGTGGGGTTGGTGCAACTGAAGCTAATCAACGAGGTTTTTGCCGGGATGATTTTGCCGAGTAGTGGGACGGCGAGGATTACGTCACTGGGGATCACGCGGGAAGTCAAGAATGATCCATTCACTATAATCAACGTGAGTTTATGAAAATTTGTATTTTTTGGTAATTTTTGATTTTTTTGTTTTTAGATTTTGTGTAGTTCTGATAAAGAGGCGTTCGAATGGGTTAGCACGAAAAGCGAAGATTTGCACTTGTTGACTGACCATAATTTGGTGGGGGGTGGGAAAGTTTTGGGCCAGGATTTATACATTGGAAGAGTTCGCAGCGACGGGGGGATCGTTCTGGGGAAAGTTTTTCCGCACAGGTTTATCTATCAAGGGCTTTATGTACCTTCGAAAGGGGTTTTTGCTCAGTTTATGTCTTATCAAGTTTTGGCTTTTAATTGCAAGGATAAGAAACGCGACAAAGAGGAGGATTTTGATTTTGGTGGTAGAAACGGCGAAAATGGCACTTTGGAATTTTGAATTTTGAACTGAATTGGAAAGTATTATGTAAAATTATTTAGCAGTAATCATCAGTATTATAAAACGAATTATTAGACAATAACATATCTATTTTAAGTAAAGCATAAGTCTTAAAAATTTATAGTTGTAAAATTTATTAAATAGGTGTGTCAGTCGATTGTGAAAGACCAGAAATGCTGCACAGGGTGTTACAAAAATGACCAAAATTTACAAATAATTTTATCATATTAAAAGTATTGTAATTTTGACAATACTAAGTAATCTCCTACTTTATCCTGCATGTTAATATAGTTAGGTTTTAGTGCTGTTTAGCATTTATTATCTACTCTGAAAAGATCTAAAATACAATCAAACGTTAAGTCAATAATTCTGCCGCATTAATTAACGACTTGTCATACAAAAAGCTCTTCTCTGCATACCAGTTTTTTCGTTAATCATTAATATATATATTGTGTAAGAAATACAGGGTGGAGTGATAAATTCTACATTTTGAAAAATCGGAATTCATCTTTGCTGACAGCCTTCCATTCTTCCTCACCGATTGTGTGGAATTTTTATTTTGTTATTTTGGACACGCCGTCAAATTTAAACTATTGAAACGACTTTTTTAGCACAATTGAACCACTCATTTTGACCAATCGTTTTTATTTGATATCTGATTACGTCGATGGCATTGGCACTAAATTTTTGACTGTTAAATTCTTTGGTGTGTTTATTTAATTTTACTACCGGTGACTGATCACAGCGAAATGTTCCTATCAACTGAAAGCTACCGAGGTAGTAACGGTTCTTTTATTTGCAAATTCAGGGTGATTAGTAAGGGTTATTTGAATGATTTTCAGAACAACATACACAGTTAAATTCTTAAATAAACGTTTATCAATAAGTACTTGATCTTTCTAACGAAATATACAGGGTGAGTATTATAATAACGGGACCTTGACCAATTTTCAATGCAACACAACAGATATCTAAATCTTCACAATTACGAATAAAACTTTGGTAAACTTGTTCTTTTACAACCCGCCAGAGGAAGAAATCTAAAGGTGTTAAGTCGGGACTACGAGGGGGGCATGCATTCACACTGCCTCTGCCAATCCACTTATTTGCAAACGTCTCACACACATTTATGGAATAAACATTTTGAAAATGAGCTGTTCTGATCCAGTGGGGGTTATTTTGGGAGTAATAGTGACAGTTGTGTCGATTAACAACCCCGTTATTGCCAAATCTTGCTTCATCGCTGAACAAAACTTCGAATAAAAAATTGTTGTCCAACTAGTTGATGTTGTATAAAATTGCAAAATTGTATTTTTCTGGGAAATTCTTTTTCTTTTACATCTTGTACTAATGTCACTCGATAAGGGTGGAGCTTATTCGCTCCCAAAATTTTTTAAACTGAAGATTGAGATATTAAAATAAAAAAACTTTGCACAGTTCCGCACGAGTTTAGCCTAAGTAACGGTGGAAATAAACTTAGGAATTTTTCCATTGGTTTTATCAGTTTTATCAGCTGTTTTTAAAGCAAAAGAATTTTAATGCAAATGCAAATAGATTTTTTGTTAAGGAATAAATAACTCAACTCCAGTATTTGCCAACAAAATCACCGACGTCCTTCTGAAAGCATGTCCTATGTAAGATTTTACATCTTGGAGTTTTTATCTTCGGAAACTTTTTGACGTATTTGTCCCATAGTACTTATTAGAGGGCGGATTTATAAGCACAAAAAAATTAAGAATAAGCGCTTAAATAAGCACAACATTTTCAATAAAAAAGTTTTATTTTAAGCAAAAAAGCATTAATTAAGCATAACACTTTCATTAAAAAAGTTTTATTTCAAGCAAAAAAGCGTTAAAAACATAATCATATTACAAATCAAAGAACACTTCTTAGAACTTTGGATAAAATATTATTACAATAATCCTAGACTTTATATTTTACACACGTATTTCAGTTTTCTTTAAAACAATTTATGATTGTAATATGTTCCAAGTTGTCCACTGTAAAATTTTTTCGCCGATCATTTAAAATGTGTTTAAAATTGGAGAATGTGCGTTCAACATCCACACTCGTTGTTGGCGCAAATTTGAATTTTGCAACTAATGTTGAATCTAACTCCAAATTTTCCACCTTCTGGCCTTGTAAAACACGAGCAACGTCGGAAAGAACACCGAAACCTTCATTTTTATTTAACACTTCGTCAAGTTTTTGACATACTTTAGTACCAATATCACCCCTTACTGCGTTTGCTTGTTGTTTAAATTCTTTCACTAAGTTTATGGCATCTACCAACAACATGTTGGGTTTTTCTAACTCTTTTATTACCTCACATACGAATTGATAATTGCTTCTTAGAAAAGCTAGATCTTGTCGCAAATCTTTGTTTTCCAAAATATTTATGCAATCTTTAATCGATTGAGAAGAATCTTCGCTAAACTCCGTAACTACTTCCTCAAATTCCTTGATATATTTGTCATAATAAAATGTGGCCTGTAACCTGTAACCATGTTCCCCACCTCGTTATAATCGGCTCTGGGGGCAATGGTATGTTTGGAAATTTTTCCTTCAAATGTTGCACTCTTAGTGGGGCTTTAACAAAAATCTTTTTACCATTTGCCACTAATTTATTAACAGTAGGAAACTGCAAACGTATTCCTTCAGCCACTCTGTTTAAACCGTGGGCAATGCAAGTAGAGTGAATTAAATTGGGGTACAATATTTTTAGATTATTCCCTGCTTTCAACGTATAACGAGCTGCATCCGAGATCATCAATAAAATTGTATTCGCCGGTACGGCATTTGGCAAAAATAGTGACGTAAGACTGTCATTTACAAATCTGGTAATCGTATTGCCATTTGTTTTATCTAACATTTTCAAACTTACTACATACCCTCGACTAGGGAAATTTTCATTTAAGATTCCAACACTTAAACTTGCCACGTATCTTCCACAACTATCGGTTGTTTCATCGACAGCGAACCATAAATAATTATCTCCAACGTGATGTTTAATTTCGTTGTAAACTTGCTGGAACACTGGGCCTACATAATTTTTTCGGAGAGTACTTTCAACCGGAATATGTCGATTGCAGTGTTTTTCAAGGAATTCTTGAAGAGGGCCTTTCTCCAATTTTTTAAAGGTATATTGGACTGGATCATTATTTTACATAAATCGAAATTAAACTGAAACTGCTCATCTTTTGTGGAAGTAGATGCAACAGATTCATGTATGGTCTGCTGTTTGATTTTAGAAACATTTTCTTCCTTTCTACATGAAGAGTCGTTCTGACATGTTGCGTCACGTTATATTTTTTATCACTTTGAATCTAAAACAACGTACATATACAGAATTAACACAGGAAAATGGATAAAAAAAAATTAATGGGCTTACGGTTTTCACACAAGCTCTCCAGAATATTTTGTTGTTTTCTAATTTTAATTCTGGAAAATCCCTTATCCACTCATCCGGCGTCGATTTTACTTTCGGCATTCTTTTAAAATATTAGTAATATTACCAAAAAGAACTCAACATGTAACAAGGGAGAACCACGTATAACACTGTACTACGACAGATGCGATAGACTGCTGGTTGTGAAATAAACGGTTCATTTACTTAAAAGTTTCCATTAGAAAAATTTTAAGGTAGGTAGTTGGGTACAATAATCCTTTTTCCTAGAAAATCTTCAACGGTCTTGACGCAAAATGCCGAAAAAGAACATCTGGTTAAAAGCTTTAATTAATTATCAACGGAAGTAAGGATTTAAAGTCATAAAATCTATGGAGTATTTTTCCAATCCTATAATAAAATTTTATTTCCCAAACGACCGGAACCTATTCACAGAAAGGGTCTTGAGTAAGTGTACTTCAATGGTCAAGTCCAGGTAAAATGCATACGATACGATACGGCTAACTAACAAGTGTTTGTCATCCCGACAAGGCCCGCATTTGAACAAAATATGCATTAAAACTCATATTCGTCGAAAAAAGCATTAAATAAGCATATAAGTTTTAATATGCATAAAATTGAAAAAAAAGCAAATAAGCATAAAAAAAAATGTGTCAAATGACTCCAAATTGTATGATGGTTACAGATATAAAAAAGTTTTGAAGTGCTTACATTTTTCACAAAAAGCATTAAACCTAGAAATCCGCTCTCTATTGGTCAGGGTCCCGTTATTATAATACTCACCCTGTATAAATACGGTTCTGGAAACCAACCCCGAAAAAGCAGGTTACTCGGGTACATTTATGGAGATTAAGTTCAATTGCAGGCAGTTGGAGGTTGACCAGGGATTAATTAATGACACTCATAAAGTGATTACCTCTGTTTCCAAATATCTTTAGAAAAACTTTACTTCTGAATAATATACCAAAAGTAACCGTTCTCAGGTAAAATTAAAGACTAATCCAATTGTGTATATATTTTTTCCTAATTAAAATATGGTATGCTTTATCCAAAAATTTGTGAAGTACGTATGTATTGAGATCCAGAACTATGCGATAATAAATTTAAAATGATACAACATAAAATAAAATGGTCATTTAAAGAATTTCTGAAAAAAAAAAAATGTCTGGCAAGTTTCATCATAAAATAAATTTCGTCAGGAGCTTCCAGATTAAATTTAGAATACCTTAGAGGCTGCACACTCTCATACAATTTTATTGTCGGATTATGAGAGGTTTAAAAGGACGGACTCTATCGGTTACCTGTTATAGATTTGAATGGACCAGAAAAATGGCTAAAGTTTGTTTGACCACACATTTTAAGTATTCTGCCCCTGTTTACTCAATTATTTCTTAAGATATTTTATTTCTGTAAAGCGCGATGGATTTTTTAATACAATTTCTAGTAATGTATCTATTTGAAAATGTAAAATTGATCCATAAATAGCGAAAACCAGATAATCTCAGTCATCACAATTTTAACGCATTGTAGTTTTTTTGACAACATAATTTAAAAAACGGAAAAGCAGTCTGGGTAGGGGTTTTTACGATCATTTCAACGGTGTGAAGTTTATTACAATCGGACGTATACTTTTGGCAAAAACTTGAGCAGAAGTTTATATGTATTTCCCTATGTTGGAATATGCTTTAGCTCACCCTTAAAATGATGAAGAGCTTATGATTATGGTTACCTAGTTTCTTAACAAATTCTACCCTAAACTCGTTTCAGATGTTAACTCTCCACTGGGTTAATCTTCTCTTTGTGGGGACGAACCAGGTATAAACAAAACAATACTTTTGAGTCTTGGGTTCTTGTCAAAACTATCAAATTGATTTGCCTACCAAAAATCTCGAAAATTGAAACATCGCAACTGCGTCTCGATTTTGTTATAATACACTCAAATTTCAAAAAAATGTTCTAAATAAGCATTAACCGAGGTATGTCTGAAGTAGAGAGCACTCTTTACAAATTCTTCGTGTCTGCTTGCCCATGGAAGAATGCTGTAAAAATTCGATCCACATAGCATGATTATAGTACGAGACGTAAATATTTAATCCAATCTGCCTTCACTCGTCTTTCTGGATCGTGCTTCGCATACATTATAACAGCATTCAGCTGTAATAGATTTATAGTGTTTGATCACGAACAAGCTGTTGAGGATTTTGACACATTTTCGTGTCTAACGAAATATTAGATACGTATTTCCAAATTGTGTCTTTCAAATGTTCAAGTTTGTTAAATTTAAACGTGCAAGTAGTGCTGAGTACAATTTTCTAAAGACGATGACATTTGACAATAATGATTAGATATTAGAAATATCAGCGTCAATATTTTAAGTTGTTTCCCACACTTATTTTGGTTAAGAGGTGATATAGACAAAAACAAAAATATTTCACGCAAAAACTCAAAAATTCTGAACTATTATCATTTCTAACTTTGAAAACATTAATTTTAGAATTTTTAATAAACTGGAATTTAATACAATGTCCTTTCCATGAACTTACGCTGCACAGTTTCTAGTAAATTAAATTCCTATTTGAAGACACCAAGACAATATTTTAACTTAGAATATGGGCTGATATGCATAAAAATTAGTAAATACTTAATACTGAAAATTTTAAGTATGTACTAGTGTTTATATGCATAAAAATTAGTTTAAACTAAAAAGTATATACTACATGCTAGCTAGGTTAAAATTTTTCCAGCATTTACTAAATTTTCCAGTAAATACTCAGATCAATATGCATAATAAATAGTATCTACTTGATTTCACAAGTTAAAACTTAATTTTTTTCAAGCTGCTATATGAGATGCTTGAAAACAATTTTGGGTGACTTTGGTGTTCTATTTTTGGAAAATTCTGACCTGACCTGTTTTTGAGTAAATTTTGGAAGCCTGTTTTTTCTTTCAAAAATTTAAAACAATCTTGAAGTTCTAGGTATTCCTGTTTAGAAAGAATTTGAAAATGCTTTGGAGCCCCTAGTGTCTTTTCTTATAATAATTTAATTAAATATCTTAGAGAATACGTCATTTGTGAAAAGCAATCTTATCTTAACAGGTACTAGCCCCACCTACTCGGCCTCTCTTTTCTTAGAAGGTATCTCATTTGGTAAAGTCAATTTTATTTTAGCAGGTATTTGTACCGCCCACCCTGTCTCTCTTTTCTTAGAGGGTATCACATTTGCCAAAATCACTCTTATCTTAGCAGGTACCAGCCCCGCCATGTGCCAAAATCGATCTTATTTTAACAGTTACTGTTTTATTTGTTCTAAGAGAAATTAAATCAAATTATCATGAGTCGTGAATTGATTGACGTGAATAAAGTTCAAAATGGCTCAATTCATGCTGCCCATTCGGCGACGAAAAATTTATAAGGCTAGAAGGCAAGCTGGTGCTTCTACTTATAAAGCTATGTACCGATTTGAAGAAGACAACGTAGAGTACCTAGCCGACGTGTTTTTGGGCGAAAACAATGAACGAATGGGAGGTGCTTTGACACCAAAACAAAAAATACAAATATTTTTAAGGTATGTCGGTGATCCTGGTTTTCAAGTTGGTGTTGGTGAGGACAGTGGTACCCATCAAAGTTCAGTCTCCAGAAACGTAAAATTTGTTAGTGAAAAAATCTACGAAAAGGTAAATCAGTGGATTCAATTTCCGGCAGAACAGGCTGAAATCGACGCAGCTAGACACCAATGGCAAGAAGCATTTAATTTTCCTTTTGTTATTGGCGCTCTAGATTGCACTCAGATTAAAATTAAAAAACCTTTAGAACATGGAGATGAATACATATGCAGGAAGCAGTTTGCTTCAATAAACGTACAAGCTACATGTAATAGCAGAGAATGGTTTACAAGTGTTGATGCCACGTGGCCAGGTTCTGTGCATGATAGTAGAATTTGGAGAAATTCTTCAGTATTACCCATTATTTCGAGATATCAAGGACAAGCCATCCTCTTAGGTGACTCGGGTTATGCCGTTGCTCCTTGGTTGATAACTCCCTACAGAAACCCAAGAAACCAGGTTGAAATACACTTTAATAACATGCACAAAAGAAACAGAGTGATTATCGAAAGATGTTTCGGTCAAGTGAAAAAACGATTTCCAATTTTGATGAATGATATTAGGGTTCGTTTGTCTAGAATACCAAAATTGATAGTTTCTTGTTTTGTTCTGCATAACGTTTCTAAATTTGTAAATGATGTAAACGACTTTCCTGATATTCTTCTTGAAGAAGATGATGAAATTGTAGAACACGAAAACCACAATCCAATTCAAGGAATTCAACGCAGAAATGAATTGGCTCAAATTTTGTATGCCCAAAGATAAAGAACATTTTTTTTACTAACATATTTATTTTAATAAAACAGAAACAACAGAAAAAACTCTTCTAACGACGTACAAAATTATTCCCTTTCTCTTTTATTTTCAATTTCTTTTTGTTGCATTTTTATTAATTTTAACTGTTCCAATAACACTAGCCTTTGCAACTCGCTAAGCGATAGAACTCTAGTTTCATCCGTTTCTGCTGCTAGTTCTGTAGATGTACACTTTCTTTTGGGTGGCAATGGCAAAGTAGTTATATGGGCGGAATTCAATTCTACTGCCTCCACTTCTTTCGAAGTTCCGGCAGCTGCAGCACCTGATAACAGTATTGCTATAAATTTTTGCACACATCATCGAAGTAATAACGTCATTAAAACGTTAACATGCCTGGAATTCGATAAATCGTGGGATTTTTTTCATTAGTGCCATTTATTAATTTCAATAAGGTTTCCTCCCAGGATTTAAGCACGTTTTTTTTATTTCCGGTCCTATTCATATCTGATTTCTTCTTTAGTTCCGTCTTCATATTGTTAATTTTTTTAAATATTTTTTCGTGAGTGAGTTGTTCCCCACAATTATTTAGGCAAGCATTTGAAAATTCTTTTAAAGCTTCCTTCTTTTGTACTCTTTTCGCTGGAGTTTGCGACTTACTTAATAAAATCCGCCACTTTTTAAGCAATGAAACAAATTGTTCTTGCTTATTACTCTTTTCGGCAGATTCTATAATTTCTGATTCAGATTCAGAAGAACTCATTTTAATAGAATAGGGGGATTTATGTAGGTCTCACTTACAAAATACGCACACACGGCTTTAATGTCGGGAAGATTTTGTCATCATTGAGTGACACCGCCTATTTTTTTTTTATTCTAAGTATTTACTGGAAAATTTAAAGTATTTACTTAATAGTATAAGTATAAGTTTATGCATACGAATTTTAGTAAGAACTTCTACTTTTAGTATTTACTATTGAGCATTTGCTTTTACTTAAAGTTTTTACTTTTCAGTAAATACTTAATTTTATGCATATCAGCCATGATGTGCCAAAAGTATTATTAATAGTCTCGGTAATTTCTATAAATAATCCTAAATTATGGACGTTGTAGCAACTAAGAAATTTATCATTACATTTCCATGGAATTTTCAATATAAAACACTTTCTGTTGAATAATATTACAGCGCGCACATCACTTATGAAAATCAGGAACGATAACAGAACTGGGTTGGAATCTTGTGCCACTCCTGAAATCATTGTATATAAAGCAGATTACAAATACAATACAATTTTCCTTTCTGAAAATGACCATTATTAGCGTTAAGAACGTTTTCCTGAAAATCGATGCCTTAATTCTCAAGTGAAGAACTAGCTGATGGTGAATTATTTTCCACATCTCTGAGTACTCGTATTTATTTAAATGTCAAAAACAGTAATTGACTTAATCGTTACATAATTCAATAAAGCGTTCACTTAACAATAAATAACAAGTTTAATATGGTTATTATTTGTGTGCATCCAGTGTTGAGCCTTGCGATTTTGTAGTTCTAGGATAATATTTCAGATTCTAGACATTATTAACAACAACAAAACGAAGAGACGTTTTTGAAATTTTTAATTGCTTTTGGTACTCTTGGAAATTTTGAACTGATGTGTGTGTGAAAATTTTATGATATATACCTATGCTGTCAAAATGAAAAAGATAAAAAATATATCAGGATGTTATTTAAAAATTTGAATAACTATTTTCAAGTTCTTCAAACTCATACACATACTTTTTTTTATTTAATACTCACTCAACTTGTGAAAAATAAGTGTTCGTTTTAAAATGTTTTGAGGAAATTAATTAAAAGCAAAGGGAGATTACAGATATTATCAAGGGTCAAATATTCATTTATATATTAAATCTCGCCTGTGGCTCGGTCTACAGCATTTGCAAAAATTCAAAAAATTGCATTGAAGTTTTTTATGTTACTTATTTAAACTACCTGATTGTAAACATGGTCGTAGAAAAACCATTTCTTCACTGTGTCTGTAAAACAAATTAGCGTATGTTGTAGAGATTTTGAGGACATAAATTAAAACAAAAGGGTGATATGAGCAGATTATAAATTTAAATCTCGTCTGCAGCTCGTTCGTCAACATATGGGAAAATTCGAAAAACCATTTTTTCACTTCAACCGTAAAACAAGTTAGCATTTGTTGTAAGGACTTTGAAGAAATTAATAAAAAGTGAAGGAGTTCTGATCAGATTATAGATTTAAAATATTGAAAACTTGATGGCAAATATAAATATTAGTTTCTTTCAAAATAAATTGAAATTTATATGCATTTCCAAGTGTCAAAAATTCATTTTTACTTTAATTCTCGAATGCGGCTCGGTCTACAGCATTTAGAAAAATTCGAAAAATGGCCTTGAAGGTTGTGGTGCTCCTTCTTTAAACTGTCTGATTGTTTAGCGGTGGTCATAGAAAAACTATCTCTATACTTCGTGTGTAAAAGAAGTTAGTGCTTTTTACAGAAACTTTGAGGAAATTAATTAAATTAATAAAAATAAAGAGAAATCTGTTCAAATTATAGATTTAAATGATGCAAGACTTGAAGACGAAGATAGATATTAGTTATTTTTAAATAAATTGTACCATATAAAACAATTATAATTAACCTAAATTACTTGTAATTTATTCAACATAAAGGCTAATTCTTTAAGAGTGATGATTGTTAGTTCTAATTAATTAAGCTTAATTAGAGTTAGTTAGACTTAATGGCAGCTGATATACTACTGGGTTATTTTCTTTCGCTAAACGGCAGATGAAGGTTTCTAGTAACTCTAAGAAATTAAACAGAATTCATCGAAATCAATTATAATTCCTTGAAATTAGGTAGTAATTTAACACTGAGCTTATGCTTCTAGCACTCAGATTCAATCAAATTTCAGTCCAATTAATGACCAATCGAATGTGATTAATAATAATTAAGCGTATTTAATTTCCTAAACCACAGTTTTGTAGAATTTTAGATCTTTATTCTACATTAACTTTAAATACTACAAAAATTATCTTTCGTAGACAACAAAAAACATTTATAATTAACCTAAAATACTTGTAATTTATTAAACGCAAAGGCTAATTATTTAGACATTACTTGTGGTTAATCGCAATTAACTGCAATTAATATATTTAGCCAAAATGATATTGTTATTTAACCAACTTACAATTACTCAATTGTTGGCTCTAATTAATTAAGCTCAATTAGAGTCAGTTAGATTTAATTTTAGTTGAACTATAACTACTGAGTTACTTTCTTGCGCTAAACTGCAAATGCAGGTTTCAAGTAATTGTAGGAAACTAAACAGAATTAATCGCATTCAATTAGAGTTCCTTATTCCTCACAATTTTGTGGTTAAGTTTTACTTCTACCACTCAGATTCAACCAAATCTCAGTCCAATCAGTGAACATCCTATTGTGTTCAATAACAATTAAGCGTACTTACGTGCAGTGTACTGAAATTAAATTTTCTTGTGAAGAATAATTTTGTAGAATTTTAGATTTTTTTCTACATAAACTTTCGATACTACAAAAATTCGCTCGGTAGACGAAAGAATCTGACATCAAAAACCCTTTTTAATTAACCTACAGGCTACTTTTTTAGAAATTATTTGTGGTTAATTGCAATTAACTGCAATTCATATATATATATAGCCAAAATGATAATGTTATTTAACCTAGTTACCATTTTTTAATTGTTGGCTCTAATTAATTAAGGTTAATTAGCGTCAGTTAGATTTAATGATAGTTGAACTATAACTACTGAGTTTCTTTCTTTCGCTAAAGTGTAGACGTAAGTTTCAAGTAATTGTAGAAAATTAAACAAAATTAATCTAAAGTAATTATAATTCCTCGAAATTAAATAATAATTTAACGGTGAGCTCTTGCTTCTAGTAGTCAAATTCAACCAAATTTCAGTCCAATTAGTGAGCATTCTAATTTGATTAATAACAACTAAACGTAATTATGTGCAACTTATTGAAATAAAATTTTCCTGTGATGAATAATTTTGTGGAATTTTAGATTCTTTTTTTCCATTAACTTTGGATACTACAAAAATTCGCTCAGTAGACTAAAGATATGACATCAAAAAACCATTATAATTAAGCTAAATTACTTGTAATTTATTGAACGTAAAGGCTAATTTTTTAGAAATTAATTGTGTTTAATCGTAATTAACTTAAGTCATCCAAAATGATAATGTTTTTTAACCTACTTACAATTAGCTAATTGTGTTGCTTCTAATTAATTAAGCTTAATTGAAGTCAGTTAGACTTAATGACAGCTGATATATAGCTACTGAGTTACTTTCTTTCGCTAAATGGCAGATGTAGATTTCTAGTAAATGTAGAAAATTAAACAGAATTAATCTAAATCAGTTAAAATTCCTTGAAATTAAATAATAATTAAATGGGGAGCTTTTGCTTCTAACAGTCAGATTCAGCCAAGTCTCAGTCCAATTAGTGACCAACCAATCGAATGTGATTAATAACAATTAAGTGTACTTACGTGTAATTTACTAAACTTAAATTTTCTAGTGAAGAATAATTTTGTCGAATTTTAGATCTTTCTCTACATTAAATTTAAATACTACAAAAGTTCGCTCTGAAATTAAAAAACTTTTATAATTAACCTAAATTACTTGCAATTTATTGAACCTAAGGGCTCATTTTTTAGAAATTAATTTTGGTTAATCGTAATTAATTGTAAGTGATATGTTGTTTAACGTAACTTACAATTAGTTAATTGTGTTGCTTCTAATTAATTAAGCTTAACTGAAGTCAGTTAGACTTAACAACAGCTGATACATAGCTACTGAGTTACTTTGGTTCCCTAGATGGCAGTTGTACGTTTCTAGTAATTATATGAAATTAAATAGAATTAATCGAAAGTAATTATAATTTCTAGAAAATAAACACTCATTCTACGATCAGTTTTTGCTTCTAGCAGTTAGATTTAACG